TCACGCCTTCTTTCTTACTAACATCGCACATGTAGCCAGATCTGGTATTGAACCTCAGATTTCTTGATTCTGAGGAAAGCATTCTAACCACTGCGCGTCGGCTACTCAATTTTTCTGATCATGGGTTTAAAATTTAATTAGTCGTGTGAAACTTTAATATCTAGCATTTTTTGTTTGCTGCAAGTCTATCTGTTTGCTGCAAGTCTATCTGTTTGTTGTATTTCTTTCTGAAATCCATCTTTTAAATTCTTATTGATACAAACGTTAAAAAATATTGAAAGAAGAATATTTTCCTAAAATATTTATGCTTTTCTATATCATTAATGTTGCTAAAAAAATGTCAATAACCGGTGGGCGTTTACCCATGGTGGGTGTTTATCAATTACCATTAGGCGTTTACCGTAATAGTAAAAAAAAAATTCTAATCAATACAAACCTATTTACACTACCCAATACCATATCGTCACGATCATTTCACAAAAGCCCGAGTCATTTTTTCATGTTTTATAAAATTAAAAAAAAAAAACTGAAAATAAAATTGCTATTTTTTCACTTCAAAATAAAACAAACAAAAAAATTTTTCTGATTGGCTTAATATCATAATCAATAAAGATTCAAAAAATTCAACAGAACATGCAATGCTCTAAATTCCTTGCAGTATTTCTAAATCTTTTTTTATTTTAAATGTCAATATACTATATTTATAAATCAAAATTTCTTTAAAGCTTTAAGTTTAATGACCGTCATGTCTGTCGACGATACTAATCCCTTTTTATCTCATAACTGCACTATCACATTATTTTAAAATATGGATATTGAATTTGAAATTGAAATCGAAAATTTGAAAATTGAACGTCGAAAATCTATTACTTGCTAGTTAACACTGAATGTTGAAAATTTTTTTATTTATTTTGAAGACAGGTTTGATCTAGTTGAGCTTATTTGAAAGAAAAGTTTCTGATTGGCTCAATGACTTCTCAATCATTGGGAAGTCATTGAGCCAAATGATTGGGAAGTCATTGAGCCAGTAAAAATCAGAAAAAGCAGAATACAAAAAAAAGAGACTTTAATATAAAATGGCTCAATGACTTCCCAATCGGCATATTTAGGTTGTATTAACGTCGAATTGACGTACCATTTATTATTAAATTTATTTAAAAAGTTTGAAAATTTTGATACTTTAGGAATTTTTTGCTGCACTGATTAAACCTTTTTTATCAACAGTCATTCAAGCCTACATTGGTTGATTTTATACCAAATTAAATTCGAAATCTGTTAACTTTAAAATGTAAAATTAACACATCTGTTTTTCTATTTTTTTGATGTTGTTGTTTTGTTTTTTTTGTTTTTTTTTGTTTTTTTTTGTTTTTTTGTTTTTTTGTTTTATTGATTTTAATGATTTGTTTACCTTAAAAGATAAAAAATAAATTTTTCTCAAAGCCATGTTGTTTTGAAACATTTTGGCTTTTACCTTAAGGTAATAATCTTTCATTTTCGAAAAGCTAAAGAAAACCATTTTATCTTTTGAAGGCATACTTTTATGCTTTACTTATCGAAAATAGATAAAATAATAATTCATTCACGGAAACTTAAAAAAACCATACTTTTTAATTAAAAATATATTAATTTATTTTTTACGAAAAAAATATTACGAAACAATATTGTTTCGTTTAACAATTTATCTTAATAAGTTTCCTAATTTTATACATAAAAGTGCTTTATTATTTTACTACAGACATATTTTTATTAAAATTGACCATATATTGTAAAGAGCCTGACAGGGCCGTGCACAAATTTAGGGGTCCCGAACATCATTCAATTTGGGGGCCCAACCCCCATGACATATATAATTGTAATTAGTCCAGCTTTTGTTTCTTACAATACCTTTTTTTGTCTTTTGTTTTGCAAACTCTTCAATCACATCATGGAAATCAAGATTTTGTGTTAATAGACACTCAATACTCAAAATGGCAAGATTACTTGTTTGTTGTTCTCCCATAGACCATAAAAAATTGGAATTGAAGCAAAAATATACAGTGCAATTACTGAATTTCTGAAGAGTTCCTTTTATTTCTGAAATTTTGTGTAACAAGTCGAATGGGGAAAGTGGTTGCAGGCACTCTTTATCATTGCTTCATACATTTTTTGATATTTCCACAAAAAAGATAATATAGCAAAGATTTCTTGAATGGCTGTGAAACGAAAAGTGAGCCTACCAATCACAGAGTTATGAATGTAATAAAAAATCGCTTCGAAAAGTCGAATAAAAAATCCCTCTCCTCATTCTGTTTTGGTTGATACCGTGATATGTTCATCACCTTCAATTTGCTTCCAAGCAAAACCTTTGCGCTTGACTTTTTGGTGGATTGGAAATTTAGAACTGATTTCTGCAGCATTAGCAGCTAGTTTAGCTTTTTTAAAAACTCCTGGCTATTCCTCCAAAACAGATTTAGGTGACTGATCAATGCTTTAAAATTTTTCGACTGATTATCGTCTTATATGAATAGTTGCTTTTTTTGCCTAAATGACCTAAATGACCTAAATGAGTTTCAGCAATTAATCAATGTAAGAGTTTTCATCAAAACTTCAGACATGAGAACGCATTTGAAAGAACTCAAATATTTCAGGGTACCTCTAAGCTCAGTTTTTGTTTAATTCAAGCTTTGTTTAATTCAAGCGTATAAGTTCAAGCTTTGTTTAATTCAAGCGTATAAGTGAAACTAGTTTCAGCAACCCTAAGAAATTTCCATTTGAGAATCTCCAATTAGGTCAGATTTTATACAAAAAGCTAATCCCCGTTCACCAAGAAACAGAATTACATCCAAGACTTGTTCTAGAGTTTTTCTCCAGGTAGAGGATTTAGCAATTCACAAAATGTGGAAATGTGAAACTTGATTTCCAGGTGAAAATAATTGAATCAGAAAACAAAATACTGCTGTCTTTGCTGGGCTAAATACAAGCCAATCTCGAGAAAAGAACTCTTCATTTGGCATTTTGATTTTTAAAACACACATTAAATATATGATTTCCAGTATCTTTTGGCATATCCAGTGGAAAGGGAACGTAACCAGCCCTGACAAACCTATCCAGCTCCAGTAAAAAATGGCTGTAGCAAAGCTGGTCCAACAGTGCTAGTGCAGAAGATTAGATGCAACCGACATCTTCTGCTGCTTTAAGCTAGTAGAAGGGGCATCTGATGTCTTTGGAATAGCTGTAGTTCCAACATCAAGTAATGTTTGCCTTTTGTGTAGAATCGCTTCTTTTACTTAGCTGATTTTTTAACTTAAATTCTCCTGACGAATACGTGCGTTTCAAATTTATTATTTCCAGGTACTTTGGTCTATCATATGACAACATTTTCCTAATATCAACTTAGAAATAAAATTCAAACAATTGCTTTTCAAGACCAGGGTTATTTCTATTGACTATGATAAAACTTGCCTGCGCTATTGTTAACGGCATTGCACAATTGTGCGGCATATGTGTGTAAAAAGTTGTAACTGATTTGCTTTGAGGCTTAAGGATACAGAGGTTGAAAAAAAAAACCCGGAAGTTTATTGTATTTCTGAAGGTAAATTTATTTAAGTCAACCACTTGTGGGGGCTCCCATAGGAGACGAAGCCCCGAGCAATTTGTTCGGGTGACTCGAACTCTGCACGTCCTGGAGCCCGATAATAAGATCATGATCTTTTAGACTTCCTGCTGTTGCTAATTTCAAAAAAAAAAAAAAAAAAACAGAATACAAAAAAAAGAAACTTTAATATAAAATTGAATGAATAAGAATATATCTTTACCATTTCTTATGTATTTATTTCCCCTCCCCCTCTCCCACAAAAAACAAAAAGAAGCAGTTTTATGGTTAAATGAAATAATGTCAAGTTTACTTATGTATTCTTACAAGAGTATGTTATTCTAGTATATAAGTCTTTCATGAGCCTTTACGTTTTTAATTATTTTCTCACAAAATTTTTTACTTGTAATCTTTTTAATAAACAAAATGCTACTTTATTTTATGATTTTATTATTTATTTATATTAACTTATAAATATAATTAAATATTATAAGTTAATATAAATAAATAATAAAACTGAAAAATAAGGTAGCATTCTACTTATTAAAAATTTTGTATTATAATTTCATAAATTAATTTATAATGTACTACAATATTGTGGTCGATTCAGCCATTCATTCAGTAGTAAAACACTTACATTTTTTCTAATAAACAAAATAAATAAAAAATACAGTTTTTTTATGCAGATTTATATAACAAGTTTCAATTTTTTTTTGTTCATTTGAAATCATTTGAAACTATAAAAGTTCTGGCTAAAAATACGGCGAGAACGCTAAGTATGTTACGACTAACGATAATGTGCACGAAAATTATGTTAACGACAAACGCAACTCGGTTGCGAGAGCGAGAATGTGTACGAGAACTATCTTAACGGTTGAATTATTCTAAATAACTTAAATATCACTAAAAATTATCATACATTGTACTTAAAAAACCTGAAGGACAAAAAAGAATCAAGCTCGTTAGCATTTAAATGTTATAAGTAGTTATTAAGATTTGGCAATTGCTAAGTAATAAGTTCTAAATGATAGAAAGGTCAAAGGGAAAAAAAAATTATCTTGCCAAAATTTACTTTCGGTTGATACTAATAAGATATTTGTTAGTTTTTAATTGGCTTCTCATTTTGTTAAAAACCAAAACATACTTTGTCGTCTATTTACAGCAGGGGTAAAAATCATTTAGATCAATAAACTCAATATTTTTAAAACTAATATAATTATATTTACTATATTATAGTCACATAAGAATATGGTCTTATAATCTATTTATTGGTTTCTATTTTTTACGTTTGCTTATTGATATTACTATAGATATAAGTTAATTTTTATAAAGCGCAATATTTTTATTTTTAAGTTTGTAAAACACAGAACAATATTTAGGCGTATTTTAAGTAACACTAAATAATAAGATTTTATTTTAATAACCGTGCTTAGATAATAATATATAGTTTGAAAAGAATCGCCAAATTTTAGAAACGCGAGAAATTTTGCCAATTTTCAGTATAAACATATATTATGATAGAATTGTTTCTTTATGTGGAAATTCTTTCCGAGTCATAATTTTCCCAATTTTAAGGTGAAATACTGTGTATAACATCCTAAATTTACTGTAAACCAAAGTGAATCTGCTTTATATTAAATGTAAATATGGGAATATAGGTCGTATTAGTTAGAAAAGCTGTTCAGCATGTTAAAGTTTACAAGAACAACAAGAACAACAACATAGCAATCAAAAATTGTAGAAATAGAATATTATTTATATGCAACTTGCAAAATTTTGTTTAAACTTTGGTATTCTAATTGTACATTAATAAAAATGGAGGACTCAGTTTATAATTTTGAAAAAATCAATCGAAATATGGATCAAATACCAGGTCGACAAGATCTTGTGAGTTTTTTTGAAAGAAATAACATATCAAAATATCTAGAGATTTTTCCGAAGACTGTAAACTTTGCCTATTTTAAAACTATGAGTGAAGACGATTTTAATGAGTATGGAGTTTCTAATGAAAATGATATGAAAGTTTTAATTAATGCTGTTGAAAAAGCAGTTTCAGAAGAAGATCAGGATGAGGTAACTTTTTCATATAAATTAGTGTTTCAGTTGATAAAGAGCACATAATAAATAGCACATTTATTTAGTTATGGAGATTTTTTACAAAAAAAAGCTGGGCTTTATTTTCAAATAAGTCTTTATTACAATAAAATTTTCTGTAAAACACATCTCTACTAAAAGTATTTTATATAAGTTTGAGCATGTTTTTTGTGCAATACAGATCTAAATCTATGGCTTTAGTTTGCTTATAAATTCCATTTATTTTTGAATGAATGTTATAAAGGCTTTTTATGTTACAGGGTAAATATAGAATGCTCTGTATATGGAGCATCTGGTTGTTCTAGTCACACAAGGCATATTTAAATTTATTCTGTATATGAAACTTCTAGCATTAAGATACTATTTTATTTTTATTTAATTTAGATAAAATAATTTTTTATTTAAATTTCAAAATTTTAAATTTTAATCATCAAGATGGTATTAATAAAAAAAATTAAGAGTTGATTTCCAACATTAAGCAAATTTTCATTTTGAATGAAGAAATCTATTAATTAGGACTCTGATTAATTTTCCAAATAATTAAAGTATAATTTAAAAGCTAATTTGATGGTAGAGTGAAAGTCGTTCATAAATTTCTTAATCAGTAAGAGTTCTTCTCTGCAGCATGTAAAAGTTAAAAAAATGTTGTCAATAAAATGTTTGTAAAGTGTAATAGTGTGTAGGAATTTTTTGGTAACAATAGTATCAAGATAGCCCATAAAATAGTATGTGCTCCCATGCTAGTACCATAGATTTGTTGATAATGTTAGTCATTGGATTTCAAAATAGTATTGGTAAGTATGATATCAAGTATAATAGATAGGAAGATGGGCATTTATGAGGTAGTTTCTCATTAGGTGTCCTTTCCATATAAAATTTTACTGCTTCAATACCTTTGCTCAAATGCCTTTAATATAAAGTGCGTTGATATCTGCTTTGATAAACTTGAACTGATGTTGTATAAGTTTGGTGATATAATGCAATAAAAAGTTTGGACTGTCACAAGCATAATTATTTATTTATTATATATTATGGGTATTTTCGGTATTTATCATTTATTATTTCAAATTATACGTATTTTCGGTAGACAATAAAAAAGTTGTTTACAACAAGGTTAATTGGGTTGTATGCATACAGCTGTTTCTTTATCAATGGTGTTTTTACTTAGTCAAATAGTAAATTTGTCAATAAGTGATATGATATTGTTTATTGTATGCAAAGTTGGCTCTTATGGTAGTGGACTGTAAGTTTTGTCATCAAATAGCAAACCTTTAGTTTTGTTTTATACTCAATTGTGTTAAGAATAATGATACTTCCTTCTTTATCAGCTTTTTTTTATGGTGATAAGTTCATTTGATTCCAAATTTTTCAAAGTTTCTCTCTGTGGTTTAGTTAGGTTGTAAAACTTAGTTTATTATTAAAAAAGAACCTTAACTTTATTTTTCTTTCAAATTTCTTTATGGCATCTAAATAGGTTTTGTTTAGTATATATTGTCCATATTGATATGCCTACTATACTCAATATTTGTGCGATGCTTATGTCAAGGGAAAATATCTTTTATTCTGAAAGTGTTGAATATATATTTGTTGATTGTGGTCAACTAGTATTCCTTAATATTTTGCTAGTGAATAAATAATATAATAGTGGATAGTGCTACTATATAGTATACATAATTAACAATAAAATAGTGTAACAAACAAAAATAAGGTTAACAAGACAAAGATCTAAGAAAAAATAATGATCTGGATAATACACTAGAATTTACTCTAAACATGAAAAGTTATATATAAAATGTTCTATCAAAATAAATCATAAAATATAACAAGAAGCCATAATGAAATAGTTCACTTTTAAGATGACTGCAATAACCAAATGTTCTGTATATGGAACACTTACAAAATGCTCTAAAAATATTGAGGAAAAAATTTAAAAAAAAAATGTATTTCTTTTTAAATTAGAGTTATTATACCTATATGTATATAAAAAATATTTTATAAAAAGTATATAATTTATTTTAAAAATGTAAGTCATTCAATCATGAGTTAAATCCTCAGAAAAAATGTCAAAATCAATTGCAAATTTCATAAAAATATATACATTTATATTTTAATACATACATATTTAAATACAGTTAAAAACATATTACTAGAAATCAATTAATAATAAGATAATGTAGTAACGTAGACAAAGAAGAGCTGATTTTATTGTTATAAATGAGTTGACTTTAATATAGGTTAAAACTTTAAATTATACATAAAACTTTATTGTACCTTTCTTAGCTAGATGTTTGTGGTACATCTTGCATTATAAACCTATTCCTCCAGTTATGGAGAAAGTAAGTGGCATAAAGGTTCATGTTGGATATTCACAACTTTGTAACTTACATTTTTATTTATTTTCGTATTTCATATATATTTTATCTAGAGATAGTTCTATTTGTGAAGTCAAGTTAGGGTTCGTGACTCTCACATCAAACCTATTATTCTGTTGTTAATGGCTAAGGTTGAAAATTAAAAGATTGCTCTAAAACACAAATATCTTCAGTATTCAGATTTTTTGCCAAGTATTGATTTCTTCACAGTTATTCATATTACAAACCACTATCTTGGCCTTGAATATAGATATAAATGTCTTAGTCTTGTCTTAGTCTGGGTGGCTAGTCTTGGTCTGGGTATCTTTGATGGTCATTCCTTATTTTGCAAACTTGCACATCATTTTTTTTTAAATTCCAGCAAATATGAAAAATTGGTTGGATTGTTTTGAAAATCCTTGAATTGTATTTTGTTGTTTTGTTTTTTTTCATAAATGACAAATAATTTAATTTATATTTATTGAACTATATATTTTCATTATTTTCAATTTTATTTTGCTCATTAGTGCTTATGGAAGACATTTTTTTGATATAAAAAAATTGGATAACAACATTTCTGAAACTAAATTATGAATCACAAATTATCACTTAATATCCCGTTGCATTTTTTCTAGTTTTCATTCTCTCACCATAATTTACAATATATTTTATATCTCTCTATATAAATATATTTAACATAAAAAAAATTAATATGTGGTTTTGATTAAAAAACGAGTCCAATTCAGATATTTAAACACCAGAATGTTGCTGATGTATCTTAGCCATCACTCAAAAAAAATGAAGTTTTGGCTGTAAAAGAAATTTTACCACACAATTGTCATTGTATGGATTTTTTTCATATTTTTACCAGTTTTTAAGTTTTTGTTTTGGCCTCAGCTTCTGCCACTATCACTTGATCTTTGGAACCATTTTAAGTTTTATATAGTATTAACAAAGATGAGTTTATGTTGTTTAAAATATTGAGCATTTAAAAGTTTCTTTACATTGTTTCATTTATGTTCCAAATAAAATTTTTTTAACTTATTTGAAAAAAGTTCATAAAAGCTAATGTTATAAAGTTAAAAAGTAAGTTAATTCTAGTTTTGTATTATGTATTTTTAATTTTCTGTATTAGAATTCTGTATTGTAATTTTTCTGTATTAGTATTGCAAGTATTTGTGTTTTCTTGCAAAATGTTAAGTTTTGACTTTAATTTAAACTTGTAAAAAATTTTTACATCAATTTTTTGAATGATTTTTTATCAGCATAAAATTCTTTGGAACTTAGGCTTGAAATAATTGTCATTGTCTAACAGGTGTGATGGTTGATTGCCTCTTGTTATGTCTTGTGACAGGTCCAGGGCAGTGATATATGTATATATATATATATATATATATATATATATATATATATATATATATATATATATATATATATATATATATATATATATATATATATATATATATATATATATATATATATATATATATATATATATATATATATGTATATATATATATATATATATATAACTTGAGTTTGCCGGAAATGTCTAATAAAAATTAAAAAAGTGTGATCAAATGCCATTCTTAAACATGCCTAAAATGTTTTGTTTTTACAAGTTGACCATGCAATTTGTATTGACAACTCTAGGCGTTTTAAAATGCGCAGAAAATAAAAAGAAAATTTGTAAGACATATTATCTATCAACAAGAAAAACTTAAAGATATAAAAAAATCTAAGCTCAAAAAACTAAAATTTAAAAAGGAAAATATATTTATATTACGTTTTAAAAGTTTACATTATGCGAAATGCTTTGTAAATTATTAAATACATAAGTTATTACGTAAATATAATAAATACATAAATTATGTAATTATTAAAAATAGTTAAATATGTAATAAAAATGTACAATAAATACAAAATTATTAAATACATCTGCACTATGTAAATTACTATGTAGATATATGTTAAATACATAAATTATTAAGTTATTACTTTATTAAATATTACTTATTACTTTATTAAAGTTATTAAAGTTACAAGTTAATTCTAATGTTTACAATAAACACATTTTATTTAAATTATCAAAGTATAATAGATATTTACATTTATATAAATATGTTTTTTTTATAAATCTTTTTAAACTTTTTCTAGGATTAGTTTTATTAACACTTTTAATAGCAAAAACTAACGTAACATCCCAAGTTTAATAGTGTAATTAAAAGTATTGGATTCTATAAGCATTTAAAAACTATGACGTTAAAATTTTTATAAAACAAATTTAAAAGGGGTTTTGAAAGCTGAAATATTTGTTTTAAATTTATAAAAATCATCAGATAAAAAAAAATAAAAATACTTAACTATAAATTTGAATTAATAACTAATTGCAACGTTTTAATGTGAATGATAAGAACCAGGCTACTTAATTCAAAAAAATGTAATGCTTAGGCGTCTTTTCAAATATGAATTAACTTGTGTTCAACTTCAATTTTGTTTCGTATAAAAAATTAAAAGTTCAAGTTTATATACAATACTGATTTTATTAATAATTTTGGAACAACTAAAATAATTAGAAATTAAATGCACATAAAATACATGTCAGACAAAACGGACAAAAATTAG